TTTATCTTGTCGTTATAAAATATGACACTTTGTCAGAAAGACTAAATTGATAGTTTATTAATATGTGAGAACTCTTCATTTCGGGAGAGTTTTATGTAAGTGATCAGTCGTGAATATCTGAGATACAGGTAAGTAAAATTTACATTTGAATGATGTTTGCCTTTTTATTTAATAAACATCTATAAGATCCATGCATAAATTTTTAAAAATAGATCCACATACAAGTGTTGAAACTCTAATGAATATGAGATAAAAAGGATGGAAAGTTAGAAAGGTCTATACAAAAAAAACTAGAAATGTGTGTGTAGCATACGATTGCCCCTGCCATATGGCATTTTACCTGAACAAAAAACTATGGATGAAGTTGTGACACACCCTCCGAACTTGGTGGAGACATCTGCAAAATGTTTTGCAATCCATTTGGGCATAAGGAAGTTATATACAAAGGTGTCTTCAATCGGGGCCATAAGTCTTATTTGAGAAATATCCTCTGAAAGTGGTGAAGATATATGTTCAGCAATCCATTAAGTAAAGACAAAGTAATGTGCAGGATCTGACGTCTGACCTCCTAGTATGACCGTGAACGTTGATCTGGCAAACAACATACATTGTCTTAATACGGTGGTATTAATTACCAGTACGTATTGAACGCCGCCTTTCCTCGTTGATCGTGTTCATGTCCTACGTTATGCACAAGTAAGCTTAACAGTGATAACATACTGTTCTGTTTAAAAAAGCCATACATTGTCAGAAATGTGCCAGTTTGTACCCTTTGTTGAACTTTGTTAAATAAAAAGTATTAAAATATTCTAATGAAATTGTTCCAGGTTTGTTTTAAAACTGATTTGTAAGATGTTTTCCTGTCTTTAAGTGAGCATAAAATATATTTCAAGTATATATACAGATTTCAATGACGTTTTTAAAACGTTGCTGATACGAAAAGAACCCATATCAACGTAAATGAGGATGAACGAGTAAGCTTATTTCCCCATATATACAAGACATACTTTCTACCAGACTTCTTTATATAATGATAATTCTTTCCATCATTATTCCATTCAAAGATGCATCATTAACGATAAAATGTGTCAACTAATCATCGATTGACTTTGTTACGCTTGGACGCATTTACAATTTGCAAGTTATAATCTCGGATTCGGACTAACTTCTGGTGACTTCGCTTTCGATCAAAGTTGTGATAAAAAGTGTAAACCGGGTGCTACTAGGTAATCTCAAGGGTTTAAAGTGTCAATCTGTTTTATGGAAGACTGATAATTTAATCGTATCGGTTATTCTCAGTACTGGTAGTTCTAAGCCGCATGTGCAAAAAAAAGCTTTGAATGTAGCTGAAGTTTGCAGAAAAAGTGAAATCAGTTTAACGCCTGAATGGGTACCTAAGACGATAAATACGGAGGCAGATTTTTTTAGCAGATGCTGTGATAGCGATAACTGATCGGTGCTTGACTTCATATTTTTTCACTTGAACAGAAATTGGAGCACGTTCTTTAGATATGTTTGCTCGCGATTTTAATACGAAGTTTCAGCCTTATAATTTGAGATTTTGGTGTCCTTATACCTGAGGTAATAATGCGTTAAAACAAACATGGACGGGTCATGTAAATTGGTTGGTTCCACCACCTAGGCTTATCAGTAAATGCAAAGAAAGAGCTATTTCAGATAGGTGTACTTGTACGCTGATTGTTCCCATTTGGGTATCTGCAAATTATTGGCCGTTAATATATTTCCGAACGGAAAAGATTATGTTTTGTTTATAGAATATAGTTTTTTGTTCAAACCTCGCGTGTTGACTAGGCGTGGTAGGGGTAGGAACGATAGGCCTTTAAAATTTGGTTTGATGGCGTTAAGAATAGAAACAGGTGTTCAAGTTCGTTTTATACCTTCAGGTTGAAAATAGAAAAGGCTATCATAAGGAAGGTTTTGCTGATTTACCTCGTAAAAAGGCTGAAAAATATCGGATTTCCGTAGTGATTACACAAACGTTTAATATTTGTCATATTTTTAAAAGTGTGAACATTTCATCAAGGAAAAGGGGGTAAACTATGTACCTGCGTCACCCATACACATAGCTTTATATTTGACAAAAACAATTCGGCTATTATTATATTATTATATTATTCTTATTATTTCAGCGAGCATTAATTGTGCACATGATTTAAAGGGACTCTCGGATCCTGCTGACAATTTCTTTGTTAAAAATTTATTAGATTCTACGAAACAAACTCAAGTTATAAAAGTTAACAGAAAGGAGCCTTTAAAAGCAGAAACATTAATAAGCATTTTAAAGAGTTTAAAAATTTAAGAGACAAGAGATATTTCAATTGTAAGAGATTTATGTATGATTCTTTTAGGGTTTGCGGGTTTTTTGACATTTGATGAACTTAGTTCACTGACATTTATCCGATTTTTCATAAAACTATTATGATTAAAGGTCAAGGGTTATGTAATATCTACATTGATTGTTTATCTACTGCAAAAATAGGTAAATTTAGTATTTTTGGTTGATGTCTTCTATCATTTTAGGCTTATGTGGTAACTGAAATAATTCTATTATCAGTTTTAATTGATCAGATTGGTTAAGATAACATTTTGTTTTTATGTTATTCTATGTCCTATAATGTTCACATTGTGTACTTTATTAAAAACGGAGAATGATAATAAGCATGATGGCATATATGTAACAGTGAGTCCCAACACTCAGAGGCCTGACATTTGACAAATGGAAACAGGTTTCCAAAGTAAATTTTCTTGATTATTTAAAACTAGATAAGTTTTATCTCTGGTTGTTCTTGGACGAGCCAACCGTGATCATAATAATAGTATTATGAAATTTGTGGAAGTTTTTAGTACTGTGAGAAATATTCTAACACTGCCGGAGATTTCTCTCATATAGACAAAGAAGGCCGGAAGTGTGCATTATTATACAACAATGCAATTGTATAATAATATCGGCCTTCGTGATTATATTCCTACGCATTTGAACTTAAACTGTGAATTATTCTACAACAATGCACTCAAAAATGATATCTATTTCCCAAACAGACATTTTTTTGTTTATGCACATAACAATAATATGTTGTTGAATGAAGATGAGACACGTGATCTAACAATACATGCTTTTCCGGCGTAGCACTTATGAGTTTGTTTTTTATATTCATCAATTAAATAAGTTTATTGTGTAGAGTGAAGGAAAGACTGTATATTTAATATATACACGTAAAGGCATACCTAATTGCAAAATTACTTATTATTATAAACTCTTTAACATATAGTACTGGTTTCTATATTCATTTATTTTTACGTGATAACAAGTTCTCGATTAAAACAAATATTGTCCGCTTTAAATATTCTTATATTCAAGTAAGCTTTTGTAAATAGGGATATCGAGTACATTTTACAAATTTAGCTTCGTCATGAAATATACTTTATTTCAAATTTAGGTTCTGTATCTAAACATTTCAAGATATCTGTTACTGACTGAAATGTGATTTTAATAGAACAATTTAATTCTGCTAAGTGCTAATGGTATAAGTGTGTAGGTCAAGAACTTTTTTTCTGTTAAAACCACATTTCAGTGAATAGATGGTATACTGTCTATTCTGGTGATATGGTATTAATTTCTTAGGCGAAATCCTCTTTATATCATTGATACCACAATAATTTAAAGACAACCTTTCATTAGCTTATCTTCATTTTTTGAAACATAAAATGCTTGGTAACACTCCAGTTCAACAATATTACAATCACATCACTTTTTCTACGTATATGAAAATACTTTCATTATTCATCATAACTCTGAAATGTACTTAACTATGTAAAAACTGTATTTTTCTTCCGTGAGATGAAGCATTAAGTATTGGTTAGTGCTTATTAGGAACAATATAAAAAATTAAATTGGTCTAAACTTCGCAACATTTATTGATTGACAATATCCTGTTTATAAATATGTCGCTTACTAGACACATTTAATTTAGCCCATTTGCTTATTCTAAAGATAACTTGCAAAAAATACGTCTTCAAGTCTATTAGTTATAAAGGAAGTATAAATTATCATACCTTGAATGAAATAATCTTGTGTTCACCACACAAGCAAACCAATGCCCTTGCCAGAAATTATAAACATTCCTAAATCTTAAAAACCACTTAACAATAATTTAGTACATATTCATTGACTGACATTTGTCCTCCATAATTTTTATTAGTCTTGGACAAAGCTTACAGACTCAAGACTTCGGTATTGGATATCATAGTCTAATTAATAGATTTAATAAAGTTAGTAAGTACATTGTTATTATATTTATGTACTGTTTACGCTTTTAACTTGATGTTAGATATAATTTGCTAGGGTTCTATAACATTTTTGATAATACAACGAAACAATTAGCATTATGAACGTTTTGTTTGTATTTATTACTATAATGATAAATTCAAAAATGTGAAAGGTACCAACTCACTTTGCTTTTTCATAAAAACTTAAACGTTTAAATAAAGTCAATTTATTATCAAACATACCTTAACAAGAAATCTTGCCTAAAGTATCAACTTTCTAAACTGGATGAATAACAGAGTGAGAATAACGATAAATGAGGTATAATTCAATATTATTTTCAAGGTATTTAAATAAAGTTGGTATAGTGATTAAATAAATAAAATCATATTTATTTTGGGAAAAACGAAAACAATTATTCTAAGATCTGTACATATCAGATTCTAGAAATTATTGATGTAAGTATGATCAAATTTTATATAATAGAAACGATCAAAATATGTTGATATTATTTCTAGATAAATATTCTAAGTAAGGGGATGAAAAAAATATTTTAATTGGAACAGAGAGGTTATCACACTGTTTGAAAAACTGAAACCTCTCTCATTCAAGTTAACAAGTGTGATACAAAAAATCTGTGACCATGACTTTGCTAACGTTGTTTAATTGAATTGTTTTCAATATTGAATACAATATTTCGCAATAGGTACTAAATATGGGCTTTGGAAATTCAAAGCAAGACACTGTTCATGACCCCGTGAAACCAAATAGCCAAAGAGACACAAGTAATGCTTCCAAGAATCAAAACCGCGTGAAACAGAAATACGATTACCAATTAATAGATCAACATGCAAGACAGGTTGGTTTGATTTCAATTTGATATATTTTTAGTTATACATGTCAGTACTTGTTCTAAGTTGCATTTTTTAAATATATAAAAATGTTTCGAAGTATGCCTTAAACTCAATCATTCTTCAGTTTCATTACCCTTTTAACAGTATTTTTGTAAGTCTAGTAATAAAAAGTCAGAAATTATGATTTTAAAAAGGAAAACCCCACGGTAACACTAAAGTGCGTATACAAATTTTACACATGTAAATTAAGTCTATAAATATGTCGTGTATGATCTCAGGCAATCAATACGTGACATTTTTTTAATCAATAGTTGCTTCCTGGAACACGGCAACTGTGGGATTTTCCTATCTTTTACTGGTGTGCAAACACAATGTTATCTTTTTACCACACTGTGCTCACAAAAGAGTAATCATCTTATGAAACAAGATACAATTTGTATTCAAACATCCGTTATATAATGCGGAAGTGTACCGTAAATTCGGAAATGCTACTTAAAGCCATGTTTGTTCATGCGAAACATAATCATTTTGTGCTAGTTAGTAAAAGGTCGTTACTGTTTTACCTTTGGTGTAGATGGTAACATTAAATCGGTACGATTTTTCCAGAAGATTTGTTGCACGTTTTGCATTTTCATTAAAGATTAGTAATCTACCGGCTATAACACTTTCTTTTTCTCTATATAGTACCAAATTCGTGTCAGGATAAGCATTTTTGTGGTATTTCTTGCACTTTGTCAATTTCGACCTTTTCCTTACTATTTGTATAAAAAAAATTTAAATACCACATGATCACCCTTATGATACATTGCCTGTTTTCTGTTGTTCCAGCAACTTTAATATCAAACAGTGAGCAAACATCTTCTTGCTCTTGATTCATACAACGCTTTTCAACCAGAAAAAAAGATCGCCTTCAAATAAATAACAAGAGGGCCGTAATGGCCCTGAATCGCCCACCTGTATATAGGCCCCTGGGGCGGGCCAATTTATTACCAGGGCTTTTATTTGAACAAACTTGGTAGACAACTATTTGACGATGTTTTATGATAAATATTGAAGCTTTAGCTCTTTTGGGATTTTAAAAACGATTTTTAAAGTTTTTACTATACACATATAGGGAAAAACAATGCCCCCGGGCCACATTTTATTTGAACACACTTAGTAGACATCCATAAGAGAATATTACATGCTTAGTATCTAAACTCTAGCTCTTTGATTTTTATAAAAGAAGTTTTTACTATACACATATCAGGAAAATCAATGACCCCGGGGCCACTTTTAACCCAAAAGCTTTTATTTGAACACACTAAGTAGACATCCATAAGAAGATATTACATGCTTAGTATCTAAACTCTAGCTTTTTGAGTTTTTTTAAAGATTTTTAAGTTTTTACTATATACATAAAGGGTAAAACAATGACCCCTGGGACGGGGCTAATTTTGACCCCAGAGCTTTTATTTGAACAAACTTGGTAGACACCCACTAGAAGATGTTTTATGCTGAATATCTAAGCTCTAGAAATTTGGGTTTTAAGAGGATTTTTAAGTTCTTACTATATACAAATAAGGAAAATCAATGACCCCCAGGGCGGGACCAATTTTGACCACAGGGCTTTTATTTGAACAATCTTGGTAGACACTGACTAAACGATGTTTCATGCAAAATATTTAAGCTCTAGCTCTTTTTTTAAAACAAGATTTTTTTTTAGTTTTTCCATGGAATTAAATTCTTTGAACAATTTTAAAAGTTGACTACAAAAGGAATGTCACTTTTTGACAGGTGAGCTGTATCAATTTAACATCATGTCACTATTTACTTCTAAAACAGGCACCAAAGGGTTTGAACAATTCTGCAGAAGAACTTGTGGCGTATTTGTCATCGGTTTCTAAAGATCCAAGAATGCTTGCAAGAGGATTTTTCGTCTGGAGCTCAGAAAATATAAGGTTAGCACTAAGTGATCAAAAGTGTGTAAAGTCTCAATATTTCGAAAAAAAACATAACGAGTTCACGAAATATTACATAGATTTGAAAGGCGGTCGTCGAACATATCAAAAGTTCCCTCGCGCTTGAGTACGTGTAAATAAAATTCAGAACAGATACAACTAGTAATTCAACTCATGTACTAAGTAACATGAACGATTTATATCTCCACATTAAATATTATAAAAATTATAGTTAAACATATTGAGAAAGTACCTCTTATTCAATGCTTAAAACAAGGCTTCATCCCATTCATTTCAATTTCAGGTATGACTTTGATGGATATGTTGGGAGATCGGAAAAGGCCCCACATGACCCAGAATCAGTCATGAAAAATGGTAAAAGTGTGTGTGAAGGATACGCAAGGGTGTTTGAGTTGTTATGCAGGTGCGTTTATATAATTTGAAAATTAAAACGGACATTGTTTTGAAAGATACAATATATTATATATTATCATTACAGTGTCTAAAGCATTACAAACACCACCACAATTTAAATGTAACAAAAATGAAATAGCTAGGAATTTTTAATACCATAAGAATGTTGTAGACTTAATGGAAATGTTGGTAGTCTTAAGGGACTTACTAACATATACTGGGTAATAACCACGAACCTAGATTCTTGTCAGTAACACTTTTTCTAAAAAGATTTACCCATTTCTCGGTTATTAACTTACAAATTGTCAAGCTAAAATGTGTCTGCCCAATTGAACCTTAACTCAATCCAAAAAAAGAAGGCCACGCAAGTTATCATCCTACCAAATATGAAATACATCAGTTTATGAAATAAGGCTGTATAAGCAAAAATGTTTAATATATTTTTGCACTGATGTTATTGACCTAATTAAACCCCTAACTCTATTCAGAAGAAGAAGACCTTTCAATTTATGTTCCTACCACATAAAAATGACATCTGTCAATAGAAAAAAAGGTTTTACACCTGAAAAACTATAAAAAAAAACAACTATTTTTAACATTGGTGCCTTTGACACAGATGACCGCAAATAACTGAATCTGAAGGAAAAGACCCTCTCTGGGCAAGTTTGTATTAAACATAAATTACATAAAGCTTTATGAACTCAAATGTAAAAATCTACTTTTTACATCAGTAACCTTGACCTTAATCTCAGTGATCCATTACTCCCCAAACAAGTAGGGGACAATTAAATGTATCCACCCAAAACATATGGATGATATCATTAAATCAATGAAATAATAATTAGAAATTTTAGATGAATCCAACTAACTGTATAGGTTAATCATACTATGCCCTATTTTCTAAGTGATGAAAAGGGAAATAACTATGACAAATTGACGGCAAAGTTATATAACTTGGTAATATTATGTTTTTATATTGATAAATAAGTATGGAAATTATGAAGCCATAAGTACAAATAAAATTTATCATAATTAATTTCCAACTTGCCGGTTAAGGTTAACAAGATATATTTTCAAATTGATTAAATGTGCAATAACTTAAAAAATATAGAAGCCATAGTTATATGACTTGCCAAGATCATGTGCTTTGTATTTATTAATAAGTGTATAAATAATGACGCCATTGATACAGGAAGAACTTAAGATAAATCTAACTTGCTGGTTTAGATTAACCTCGCACGGACATGCGGTACATTTACTTTATGTCCGGTGTAATGATAAAAATATTTTGCTCATATCCACATTTCATTTACCTTAATGTTTACAGTAAAGCTGGGATTCCGGTAAAGATTCTATCTGGATTTTCGAAGAGTTATGGCTATTCACCTTCCAAACCTTTTTCGTTAAACACAAGAACAGATCATGCATGGAATGCAGTCCAACTTGAGGGAAAATGGTACCTTGTAGACTGTACATGGGGTTCAGGTCACCTTGATAGTAAAACAAATAACTTTAAAAAGGAATTTAATGATTTCTACTTCCTTACAGATCCAAGGCAATTTATTTCTGCTCATTTTCCATACATGGATAATAATCTGCAAGAAAGTCAGAAATGGCAGTTATTATCCAAGCCGATCAGTCTGGAAGAGTTTAATAAAAACCTAAAATACAGTCCAGCGGCTTTCAAAATAGGAGTGCAGGCAGTAAGTCACACAACAGCATATTTTAAAATGAAAAATGAATTGCAGATGTCTTTCAAAAGTCTTGGAAAGGCAGAAATCATATTCTGTTCCAGATTAATGTATGAAGAAGGTAATGGGTTAAAAGAACAAGGAAATTCAACATTTGGATATCACGAAAAAGATGTTTACAAGATTTTAGTTCATCCACAAAAGCCGGGTATGTACGAGTTAACCTTATTTGGTAAATTTGCTTCGGATGATAGAGACAATATTATACCACAGGTATTGGAGTACAATTTCGAATGTACAGAAGTTTCAGACGAATCCCATGAATACCCACTTGAATATGAAGCAGCGTCTGTTGAAAAATGCATATTGCATCAGCCTCTCAGGGGTAATCTCCCTTGTAACACTGAAATTCATTTTCGTATCTCAGCACCCTATCTTCAAAATATTCAGGTAGAAGATACGTTACTTAAGAAGCAAGGTGCTATGTTTACAGGCAAAGTTACAACACCTGAAAAAGGAATTCAAGTAAACATGTACGGTACAAGGGGAGATCAATACAGCAGAATGAATGGCTTGTACAAGTTTCATACAGTGTGACTTCATAATTACAAAACATCGCTAAGATAAAAGAAATTTTCACGTGGAGCATTGCCTTCTTTGCTATTATAAAAGTCTGACTTTCAGTGTTCTTAAAGGTTGTCCTGCTGCTTTCTTGGGATTTAGATAAATATATGCTTATCAATTAATTTTTTATCGTCAAATATTATCACTTACTTCGTTGTCCATGTAAATGGTGCAGTCGTTCTATGAATTAGTTCATATGCATTATGCCATGATTTCCATTCAGTAAAGAATGTCAAAATGTGAATGTGAAATGACCTACATCCAGTCGATTGTAAGATCAGCTGAAATCCTAAAGATGCATAGCACAAGCAAGAAAATCATGTAAACCTACGAGAATAAACATCTTCGTTAATCACAAATATTCATTTTAAAACCTGATGAGTTTTATCAAACTTTTCATGTCATTGTTTCCTAGGTAATAGAGATCCATGAAGTCTTTACGTTTTTATTTCCATTTTGATATAATTATTTTGTATTTTTCTTTTTCGATTTTGTGTTTGAAATATTCACCTATATAAATATACCATTTTGTCATGTACATGTTGGGTTTCTTGTATTACTTCCAAAGGCCCATGTTTAGGTAATTGCAATATTTGACGTTATAGCTTATTATGATTAAAATCCTAACACCGTATTCACAAAGGAACAAATCAAATATTTTCTTAATACATGAAATGATTTGCTTTTATTGTAATTTACTATTTACCTTGTGCAGTGCCCACGAAAATGGTAAATATCAGCAATCAAGCTTGATTTTTTTTTGGTTAAATTGGACCAGACATCTGCATTACAGCATACTTTGGATAGATCTGTGTTTATTTCGGTATAGACAGAGAATTAAAGTAACTGTCTCTTTCCTATAAAAATTAATTATGCTTAAACAACACGCCATATTATATCTGCAGTTTTCATTAAACAAAAGCAATAAGCGTGATGTACTTGTTTTTCTTAAAGATAAAAAATACATATATGAAATAATACGAGTTGGTTCTGTTGTTCAAGCATCATGATGGTGTCATAGCGCAGACAGAGAAAATAATACTGGACACGGCATGTTTATTATACGATTTATTTCTGGTTAATCAATCTAATGATACAAAACTTAACAATCCTTTACATTGCTCAACACATATATTGCAAGCATACTACATGTATATAAATATAAAGAGAAGTAAAATATATCACAAAATAAAACATAACACAGAAACGAGATTCACTACTCCTCTAAAACAAAAGACATATTAAAACAAACAACTTGAACTGCTATCAAACTTAAAATGGCATCTATTAACGTTTTGCAAAATAACAAGAAATCAACAAAGTGTTTACAATTCATCGCGACCCAGAAAAAGTATAATAATGTTGACATGTAATTTATGTATTCCTTGACAGTTACGTTAGTCTTGACTTTTGAATATCTGATAATGTCATTTTGTTGCATGTTTCGTATTCATGAAATGATCACTTAAATTCTTAATTGAATTGGTTACAGAATTATCGTCGTTCCTAAGAACTAATTTGAAAGAAAAAAGTCTTGGTATGAGCGTAAATGTAACAAGATATGTCGAATAAAATGTTTAAAAAAGACATAAGCGATGTCGTATTCATAACACTGAATATGCAATCTAAGTAAAAATATTCTTACGAATAAATTATGGCACACAGAAATGAGATACTGAATAAACTAATTCATTACACTATATTAAACATATCAAAACAGTTAAGGCGAGGTTTTAAAGAGTATAAAGCTACTATATCTTATGAATATATATGAATATGCATAACAAAATGAACGTTAATATTAAACGTAGCATTATTTTTTTTCAACAATTACCGGTCATGATATTACAAAAAGGTTTTAAAAAGTAATCGAAAATTATAATCTAATAAAATTACTCAATAAAAGTCAGTCAGAAAAATAATACGTTCAATTTGATATCTAAAAAACAACCTGAATGAATTCCTTCAATCTCAACTATTATTTCTTGTAGAATATGCTTTTTTTAAAGATATAAAACGTCACAAATCCTAAAACACATTCTAAAAATATATCTATATTAAAATATACACAATAATTGTATAGAAAAAATCATATTTTTTAAATACAAAAAATAGCTATTTTAGAATTTTGCAAATGCTTGTTGTAAAAATGTTGAAATATTAAGAAACATAAGAAATATACTATGCTCATCTATCTGATGGTATGATAATCTAAAATCTTATTGTCACCTTAAAGGGACTCCACTGAGGTTTTTTGACATGACGGGACTGGAAATAATTTTTTGAGATTATTACTCCATTTGATGTAGATCTATTCTAATAACTTATGTGCAAAATTTCAGATCATTAGCTTGCTCCGTTTTTCCAGAATAATTATTACAATAGTGAAAAATGACCCAAAAATGAAAAGCGTTTAAACGCTTTTCACTCAAATCGGACTGAGAATAGCACAAACATATGATTTTCAATGTATTTTTTTTATATTTCTTGGTTATAATTTATTAATATTTATGTTTTAAGTGCTCATGTTTATCTATGTGAAAAATTAAAATTTCATGTTTTTAGGCTTATAAACCTCAGTGGAGTTCCTTTAACATATTATTGTTCTCATTCTGTACATTATTGGCGAAACAAACACTGAAAATCAGCAACAAAACAAGATTGCATTTGTGAAAGAATGGTTAGCCACCGCATTAATACAACACTAAATAGTATGTGCAGAAGATCACTTTGTTTGGTTTTTATAAGGTCAAACTTTGCCAGTAGTGTCTAGTGAATCTTGGCGTCAAGTACATATGTGTACAAATAAAAGGCCTTGTTGTTTAATAAAAAAATGCATAACATGAACACATGTATAAAAGACATTCCAATGAGTTATTTCCCTTTCATTACTTTATTCATCTGCTGGACTACCTGATAGCAAGGGGAGAGATGGACCAAACCTGCATAAATAATCTTAATAGAGATTCATTAGACAATGTTTTGCTTAATATCTGAGCTCCAGCCCTTGTAGTTATGAAGAAAAGGTTCATTTTACTATATACGTACATATAAGAAAAACAAATTACCCTTGTGGCTGGGCCAATCTTGACCACAGGGCTTAAATTTGAACAATCTTGGCAGAGGTCTACAAGCCAAAGCCTGTGCAAAATATCTATGCTCTAGGTCGTTTAATAATAGAGGAGAATTTTCTTAAACATTTTTTCTATTATACAATTCTATACACATACACTCACGTAGAGGTGAATCGTTATATACCATCACATCACAGATTATGATGATATTTTTTAAAATATAAATTCACTTTACAATAAATGATACACGAGAACAGGAGTACACCATAATGTATCAACATTAGGAAAACATGCATAGATTAAAACAAAAACAAGCTCCAAATCACATGCTTTTTTATAAAACAAAATAATAGAATGAGGAAAGATCTAAAACAGTTCAATTAATCAGCATAACCATACCAGCATATTTTAACAATGGACCTCTGAATATAATTTTCACATGTAAGATTGCAAGCATATAATAGAACAAAAATGTCACATGTATACGAGGGGTGTCCCAGAATAACGTGGTCTTTTGCTATAACTTTTTTATTTTTTTAATGCATTTTTTTTAGCAAATTTGTACACAATCCCTTAAACATATCCTTATTGAATATGTCCTTTATTTTTAAATTTCTAACATTGCTTCTCTATATTTTACGTCGCTATAGTAACGCAGTATGCGCAGGGCGGGGCAGTCCAATATTTTGTATTAATAAGTTGTCTTTACTTTCGTATATCTTGCGTATTTGTACGTAAAAAAATGGCGCGACGTCGTAAGCATATGCAGTGACGTCATATAACGTTCGTTTGAAATTTTGACGTCATAGCTGTTTCCGTTATTGTTTACCAACGGACAACTGACAACCGTTGCTCTTGGATATTTAACAAAAAAATGACGTCCACGGATTACGCGGAACATCGGACTATCATCAAGTGTTGTGTTAATTTTGGGAAGAAGCCAACACAGACGCAGGAAATGTTGGAGACTGCAAAAGTTAGACCATCTGTATGTCGATCACTCGTTTTCAAGTGGCATAAGCGTTTTTTCGAGACGGCCGGGAGGACATTGAAGACGACAAGGGTCGAGACAGAAAGTCAACGTTGACTGCGGCGTCAATTAAGGAAGTCAAGGACGTCATAGATCGGGACAGGCGTTACAATGCTGAGTACTATTCAAGGGTAAGCAATAATTTTGTGTTTAAAAAAATGATTATTAAATATTAAGCTAATCACAATTTATTATTTTAAACGCAATTTATCCGCTTCAGCTTTTAAGAAAGTGAACTCAAACTGCTATAGTAAGCAGTGTGCATAATAGGTTATTTCCCTTGTTAACGCACATTGTCTTTGCGTACAAAATAAACTCCACAATAATAATAATGATAATAATAATAATAATAATAATAATATAAAAAGAATAATAATAATAATAATAATAATAAAAATAATAATGATAAATAATAATAATAATAATACTGCGTCAGCATTATCACCGTTGTCTTTAACACTATTATCGTAAAGAAAGTTAATAGTATGCTTTATTATTATTATTATTATTATAACAGTGTAAGACTAGTGGATATATCGACACCATAGGTGTATTGAGTTAGGCGGCGACTATGTTGAGAAAAACTGACATTCGACGCCTAGCATTTATTAACAACTAGCGACGCCACCGGAATGACGTCGTAACGTCGGAATGGACTGCCCGCACCGCTACCCCTTGTCTCATTACCCTGCCCACAGACACTGATTCAGTTGCCGGACAACTTTGAAATTTTTTGTACTAATGCAATAAAGTTGCATTTTGTTCATGTTCATGTTCATTTTGTTTGTTTTTATTTTCAGTAGTTTTTGAGTTACAGCAAAAGTCCACGTAATTCTGGGACATCCCTCGTACATGTAGTAACAAAAACGTCAATTTATTCTCTTGCTGGATATGTTTGACTGATATAAGAATCAGTCTTTCAACTATTGGCAAAGTGAAGTTTTACTTAGTACTGTCAAGTTTAAAATTAAAAAAGATTACTTGACGGGATCAAGATTGTTTAAGATACAACGTAACACTGTCATTCTGCAAGAAAACAATAAGAAATCATTTTTAAAATGGAATTTATATCTTTTTTTTTTAAATACCAAGAAGTTTAAATGAGGTAAAGGAAATTATAACACAAACTGTCGAATACCCAGTTGTATTTTCACAAACAAGTCATGGCAAAACTAAAAAAAACACCATTTCAAATAAAAGCTAAATACTTACAACTTATATAGGTAAGATGATAATACTTAAAACAACTATAAAATGTCATTTTATGAAATATATAACACAAACCTAAAACTTGAAAATGTTGGATGCCATTAGTACTAAAGTAGTTCGTGATAAACGGTAACCGATAACGATATAATATTCACATGTAATTTTATTATTTAACACAAACTA